GTCGGTTAGTGAATGTGTTAGTATGTGTGTGTCTGTTAGTAAGTGTGTTAGTGTGTGTCTGTTAGTGTGTATGCATGTCTGTTAGTGAGTGTGTGTCTGTTAGTGACTGTGTGTGTCTGTTAGTGAAAGTTTGTGTGTGTGTTAGTGTGTGTCTGTTAGAGAGTGTGTATGCATGTCTGTTTGTGAGAGTGCATGCTTGTTTGTTAGTGACTGTGTGTGTCTGTTAGTGACTGTATGTGTGTTAGTGAGAGTGTGTGTGTGTCTGTCAGTGAGTGTGAATGTGTGTCTGACACTGAGTGTATATGTGTCTGTCAGTGAGTGTGTATGTGTATTTAGAAGGCGGGGCGGGCTGAGGGTGGGGGTGCCTGAGTTTTGTCATGCCTAGGGCAGCACAAAATCAGGATACATCACTGTATCTGGAGGTTCTGTGCCTGTGTTACATCAGGGTAGAGCTCGCTGAGGATCTTGTATCTGAGAATCTTTCTGCACTTTCATTGATTGAAGCATCAGCATCCTCTGGACCTGTGGAGGAGCCCCCAACTGATAAGTACTTTTGTGCCGTCACTTGTGGACATTTTCTTACTATATTTTATTCAGAAGATGAAATTTAGTTGTGGTGCATTTATTGTCTGTTATTGTTTTAGGCTACTTATATACTATATCTACTTTGCTGTTTAGTGAATCTCTCCTCTCCCCCCTTTTTTATTCCAGGAGTAGGGGATATAGTTTACAGATTAGAACCTGCTGGCCATTTATACATATCTTTGGCCTGTTTATATTTGTTGATATGTTTGATACATTATCATTACATCGGCATCTGATTTCTAGTTGTTTTGATGGCATTACGATTTTAGATGCCACTTTGATGTGACATGTTTCGTTTATTAATACAGTACCTTTCTGAGCTTATTTGTCCTTGTCTGTTGATACTATTAAAACATTGCTGTGATTATATAACTATTGTATCTATTTACTTATAATTATTCTTTTAGGAATGCTCACACTATATCTTATATTTTAATGCACTTTAAAAAAAACAACAACATTTATATAAATAAATAAATACTTACATACTTACAGACAAGGAGGCCTTGCTGAAAATACTAGATACTGTGTGAAAGTGCCCTCTAGTGGCCATTATCTATTATTGCTGTGAAAAATGTGTTTCACTAAAATCAGTGTCAGACTTTTGTCCAATGTCGTCAGGTTTAGTTTTAATTCAACCAGTAAAACAGGGGAAGTTTTTTTTTTTTTTGTGCTTATTTCTCTCAAATCAAATGCCTTGAAATTATACATCCAACTAGCGCTTCTTGTGATATTCAGTAATCTATAAAATATCTTAACTCACCTGTTAGAAAGTAAACTGCAATTTTAAGCAATAAGAGAGCAAACAGTCAAATGCCTGAAAAAGTGTAACTAAACTCGGGCTGCCCCCTAAGATAAAATTTGGCCCACCTCTTCCAGTAAAGATAACCCAGCATAGCATCAGTATAAATAAACCTGAAAAGAATAAGTATAAATCAACAGACATCGCATAAAAAAAATAAAAGGGACTGTGTTACCTAAAGATTGCTATGATAGTTGGGGGGACTGACACGTCTGGAAGGTGGTGTCCCCGTCCAGTGTCTAGAAGTGTCAGGCAGAGGAAATATACTGAGACAAAGTATCTCGTGAGTGGGTTGTTATCTCAGTGACATTCCAACACAGGCAAAATCAGTATTTCATAAAGATTTTCTCTCTATACAATACTCATTCTTCAGAGAGGGAGGAGGGGGTTTGACAGTGTTGCTTTAAAGGACCACTATAGTGCCACCGGGCTGGATGGAGAGGAGAGGAAGGGGTTAAACTTACCTCTTTCTCCAGCGCCGGGCGGGGAGGTCTCTTCCTCTTTGGCTGAATGCGCATGCCGCGCACGCATTCAGCCAGTCCATAGGAAAGCATTCACAATGCTTTTCCTATGGACGCTGGCGTCTTCTCACTGTGAAAATCACAGTGAGAAGCGCGGAAGCCCTCAAGCGGCAATGAGACAGCCACTAGAGGCTGGATTAACCCATTTATAAACATAGCCGTTTCTCTGAAACTGCTATGTTTATAGAAAAAAGGGTTAGCCTTAGCTGGACCTGGCACCCAAACCACTTCATTAAGCTGAAGTGGTCTGGGTGCCTATAGTGGCCCTTTAACTCTGATAGCAGATACTTGTAATTGTGACCTTTCTGTAAATTGTATACATCAATGGGCAAGTAACATTTATTTTTCATTTTTCACTTTCCAACATTTTTGATATGCCTCATTCAGCCATGTTAAAGTCTCCTTTAAGATGACTGAGTTTGGGAGCACAGTGCTGTATATTCCCCGTGCAGTAGAAGGGTTACAGACAAGTTCAAACTGCATTCACAGGCACGGCCATAATGACCTGTGTTCTAAAGATGTAATGTTAGGGTGCTTCACAATGATCTCCATAAATAGCGGGGTTCACTCCAACCCTATGAAGTGTGGGTTTGAATTGTGAAGAATTCTACTTGGAACAAACAATATATATTCAGTATACTTGTAGTAGTTACTAGCATTGGTGTTTGAGTGAAGGGTGTGTTTGAGAGTTTGTATCTAATTTTGGAGTTTGAAATCAGGGGGTGTTTTTGTATGTAATGTTTGTGCATATTCTGTGGGTGTTTGCTGAGATGTATGCGCATATATTGTGTCATGGTGCCTGATCGGGGTGGTCACACTGCTGGATGGGGAATCTACTCACCAAGTTCCCGGCGGCTCTCCACCCTAGCCGCATCTGCTGCACCCAGGTCCAGCATTAATAAGGAACCCGGCCGAGGCAATACCGGTCTATGTTATAGCGCCGCCCACAAAAAGTCTATTACTATGTGAACATGTGTGCATTGTCACGTTTTCTATGTACACGCATGTTCATAGGACCCATTTATATCAATAATCAGGGTTTTGGGGCTATTTAAATCCAAACCTGCTTATTTGTAGTGCCCTGTCGTGGTTTCCACTAGCTGGTTATCCGAGAGCACGTTCTGTGAGTTTGTTATGCAGTTATTTGATCTTGGCTCGTTCCTGACTATCTGTATTTCTGATATCCTTCACATTTTGGCTTTGTCTACTAGTTTATGCTTCTGTCTGTGTCCCTGACCTCGGCTTTGTTACTGACTAATTTTCTACGTTAAATCCGTCCATTCTAAGGCCCAGTAATACGTTTATCTATTGTAGTCTGTTCTTTGTGTTTAACTTGGTTCTGCGTGCAGGGCCTGGTCACGCTCTTAAACAGCTGTGGCGCATGACTGGGCCCCTGTTCAGCAATACCCATTGTGTGGTCCTTAGTGCATGGGCCACCCGATGGGCATATAGCGGAGGAACCCCAGTTTTGTTCTGGCGGAACCCCAGGGTCCTGCGGAACACGAATTGGAAAATGTTGGGATAAACAACAGAGAAAAGGGGAGGAAATGTGAAGACAAGGCTGCAAGGGATGTATTGTGTTGTCTAGGCTATCTGAGATAAAAGATGGTAGCTGAATGAGATATGATGATGGGCCTCCAACACTTGACATAACAAGATCTGGAAAAGAGGGAAGAGAGTGCTATGGCAAGGGGGTGGCTGAAGAATGCAGAGGAAAAGTGTTTTGGGTTGGGAGGTATTGTACTGAATATTAGGGATGATAATTTACCATAGGCGTAACAGTAAGAGACAAATAACTGCAGGAATAAACAGCTGCAGTAGGAAGTGACCCTGGTCACCCACTTGTATTCCAGAGCATAACCTTTGATATTTGAAAAAATGTGAATCCACTTACTGTATATACTCGAGTATAAGTCTAGTTTTTCAGCACATTTTTTGTGCTGAAAAACCCCCACTCAATTTATACTCGAGTGAATGTCTGTATTATGGCAACTTACATTGCCATAATACAGACAAGGACCGCCGGGCTCATTACAAGCCCGGCGGTCCTGTTGGGGGCTGGCAGCGAGCTGTTACTTACCTTTCCTGCAGCTCCTGTCAGCTCACTTCTCCTGTGTTCCGGTCAGCTCCCTTCTCCTCCACTGTAAGTTTCGCGAGAGCCGCGTTGCCACGGGTTACTGCAAGACTTACAGTGGTGGAGAAGGGAGCTGACCGGCACGCAGGAGAAGGGAGCTGCAGGAAAGGTAAGTTACAGCTCGCTGACAGCCCCCCCTCCTGCACAGTACACACCACAACCACCAGGGAATAATATAGCCCCCTCCCTGGCCAGCTAACAAGCAGGGAGGGGGGACAAAAAAAAAAAATAATAAAAAAAAATATTAAAATAAAAAAATATACTAAAATTAAAAAAATAATAGAATAATAAAAAATTAAAATATTAAAATATATATTTTTTTAATTATAAAAATGCCCTCCCCCCACCCAGTTCACACACACTACATTATATACACACACACTCATACAAACACACACACACTGCATTATACACACACTGCATTATATACACACACACACTCATACAAACACACACACACTCTGCATTATATACACACACACTCATACAAACACACACTCTGCATTATATACACACACACTGCATTATATACACGCACACTCTGCATTCACACAAACACTGCATTATATACACATGGAGTGTGTGTATATAATGCAGAGTGTGTGTTTGTATGAGTGTGTGTGTATATAATGCAGAGTGTGTGTTTGTATGAGTGTGTGTGTATATAATGCAGAGTGTGTGTTTGTATGAGTGTGTATGTATACAGGGCCAACATCAGGGGGTGACAACCATAACGATTGTCACGGGCCCGGCGGTCCTGGGGGGCCCGGACTGCTTTGGCAGTCCAGGGCCCAACAATTACTCTCTGCACATATATATAGTGACGATCGCTATATATATGTGCAGTGCAGGTGCAGCCGCGGGCCCCCAGCTCCCTGTACTTGCAGAGGGGGCCCAGCGGACTGCAAGTGTACTTACAAGCTCTTCCCTCTCTGTAACTCCCGCGAGACCCGTGGCCGTCAGAGCGTTGCCATGGCTTACCATGGCAATGCTCCGCGCGGCATGCACACCGCGCTCGCGGGAGTTACAGAGAGGGAAAAGCTTGTAAGTACACTTGCAGTCCGCAGGACCCCCTCTGCAAGTACAGGGAGCCGGGGGGCCCCACAATGCCACCGGACCAACAGGGATCATGGAATCTCCCCCCTCCCTGAACCAGGGAGGGGGGAATAACCTTTTTGGAATGCTCTATTTACACTACATGCATTCTGACACACACTCTGCATTCATTACACTGACACACACACACTCTGCATTCACTACACTAACACACAGACACTCTGCAGACTCTACACTAACACACACACACACTGCATACACTACACTAACACACACACACTTTGCATCCACTACACTGACACACACACACTCTGCATCCACTACACTGACACACACTCTGCATTAACTATACACACAGCATCCACTACACGAACACACACTCTGCATTCACTGCACAAACAGTAACTAATACACACAAACACTACATACATTACATACATTCTAATTAACTTACACTATACACACCACATTCAGTCCTGCATCATTTGCAGCGGACTAGGTAGGAGTCCTGTGGGTGGGCCAGGCGGGGGGCCCAGACCTTGTGCTTTGTCAGGGGCCCCAAAATTTCTAGTGGCGGCCCTGTATGTATATAATATACATAAAAATTACAGAATTTCATAGCCCCAAGTTTTACCCTTGACTTATCCACGAGGCATCGCATATTTCACAATTGTTGGTCACAAAACTGCACTCTACTTATACATGAGATCGACTTATACACGAGTATATACGGTATACATTCGTTTTACATATAAAGATTAACAACTATCCCTTAACATACCGACCTGTACGTCTTGTTACATAGTCTCTAGTTACTCTCTTATCAGGTGTATTGGTGAGGCCATACAAAACCAGGCTGTGGCAAAGCACCTGACTAGATTTCCCAATAGTGCAGTATATTGTATTTTTGCATCCAGGTACTAGGCATTGATGTCAAAGCTTTAATCCTTCAAATATGTTTTTCAGTTTAAATAAGTTCAAATTGAGGTATTTAGAAAAGTTGTTCCCTTGTGTGGTTTTTGTTTGTTGTTAAAAATTGGGTACATTAATCTTGTGTATAATTTATTAGCTGTGAGTAGGTCTACTTACAATCTCTGTTTAGATCAATGTTGCACATGGATAACATCACACCACAGTGCTAAATTGCTCGTACAAACAAAAATTTGTAATTAAACAAATTTGCTGTGTGTTTCAATAAATTGGGAAATACCAGCACAACTAATTAGCAAATTGTAATATTTAAAATCATGTTTGTGTTGTAAGCACTTATGCATAACTCAGCAACATTGTACGTAGTAGCATTTACACACACAATAATAAATATAGAAAACACAAGAGACCGGAAGGTAGGGAGAAAAAAACGTACCCACCTCCCACCTAAATATCTGTAGCCCCAGGTAAATGATACTAAGATATCATAAGTGCAGAGTGCTCATAAGTGCTAACAAAAAAATGAAAATGAATAAACCCCACAGGCAGCCGCGCAACGGAGGGGGGGGGGTCGCTCCTCGCAGCGGGTGAGAGGTCTGGCCTTGGGGAGAGGAAGGGGGAGGGGGCTACAGATATTTAGGTCGAGTTACTAGATCAGAACACCCACGAAGGTGTTATATAGGAGACAGAGGGTTAGCTTGGAGAGATGGTTGTCTTTTGGGATTTTAGTGGTTTGGGAAGAGGTTTCTATTTATGGGTTTAGTACTGTTGTTTGCATCCCTTTACGTAATTTGGGGTTTTACAACTCCTTTTTGGGTTACTGCATACTTTGTACCTATTTATTTAATTAACCCTCCCTCCCTTCCCTCCTTCCATTTCTCTTTTATCCCTTGAGGTGTGCACTGTTTAGTCTATCATCCCCTTTTTGTTAGGACCTTTACCTTATTAGCCTTTTAGCATGCTACACCTCTCTCCATATGAGATTCTAGATACCTTTGTCTGATCCCAGGTTTTTAATAGACTTCAATAAAGTTTTAGTTTTTTTGTTATCTTTACACTTACTGTTGAGATTGGACTGGGTCCTTCTCCTATTGGCTATCTTACACACACACACACACACTGTATCCATTCATCCTTTTGTGGAACTAAATGTCCTACTGTGAGTATCCCATTAATACTTATTTTACCTACATTCTATTCTAGGTTCCAATGATGTCAATCACAGAAGCCAGATATCCGAGTACACAAATTCTAGGGGCAATTTATGACACAAAATATCACAAAATGGATGCACACAGTGACACATGTAGAGTAAAATATTTTATTAACAAAACATACATAAAAAAAAAAAAAATACATTTATACAGCGCTAAGGAATCTGATGGCATTATATAAATAATACAATAATAAAAATAATAATAATAAGATATCATCAACATAAAATAAACAAAATATGAACATTTTATTTTTTTTGTTGTAGTGTGCCTTTAAAGGATCACTATAATGATGGAAATACAAACATGTCATCCTGTCACTATAGCTTTGAAAGCAATGTTTAGATGTCTGGCCCCCATGAAATCTAAGTGAAAGGTGATATTTCTCACCTTTTCTTTCAGAGCCGCGTGGGTCTCCTAGAATCTAGCCCCGCCCACACTCCAGCCCCTTGGCTGAGATCATCAAATGCTGCACTGAGCCAATCAGCGTAGAGATGTACTGAATCAATGCATCTTTTCTCTGAAAAGGCAGTGTCTACATTATAAAGCCTTCACGGACAGACTATAGACACCAGAACCACTACATTAAGCTGCAGTTGTTCTGGTGAATATAGTGTCCCTTTAAGGCACGATATACACTACATGAGAAACTCTGGAAAGCCAGGTAGTGAGGCCTTTGTGGGTTACTATGAACAGTCAAACTGCTATAATGCAAAATTATACACAGGTCTCTTATATGACACTGTAGTTTCACAAAATAGTATCAGTAGCATACAACTGAGGGTATTGTTGTACTTAACATACTTAACGTACTTAGAAGCTGTACAATATGTACAGCACACACCAGCTTTACAAAATCCAGCTCTACAAATACTTGTTATAGGACTGTATGTTAAATATTATAAAAGCCGCAATTTTACTAATATTTTGCAGAGATTTGCAGCTAAATGGCCAGATAATAATTGTCAAAATACCTTTAAAGTGACACTCCAGACTCCAAAAGCACTTAAGATCGTTGAAAAGTTTTTTTCTGTGAAGAGTATGTCCTTTTTCTTTTATTTTGGAAAACGTGCAAATTTCAACAGAAGTTGAGACTGTAATAAATTATACTGGTTACACCCTCCTAGCATTTCAAGCAGACAACAGGTCTTGTTACTTCCTGGTTTGGTTGGCTAATTTGCACTGAACTCAAGAGGCAGCAATGGCTCAGAGCATCTACCTTGCAAAGACTTTGCATTGAACTGCTTTGAGAAGTCTGTGATTGGACAGCCACATAAAGTCTGGAGAGGGTTAGAAGATGAGGGCATGCAAAGGCTGCAGACAAGAGATCTGCAGTTTGTGCAAGCTGTTTTAAGATATAACTCCAATAAAAAAATGCATGATTAAATGCATGGATGTTTTCATTTGGGGTATATCTACTACACAGTGATGATTTCATGTGTATTTGGGCAGTGGAGTGTCCCTTTAAGTAAATAACCTGTGATAAAGTAACAGAAACCAAAAAAGTTTAAAGTGCTTAAGAACCCAAAAGTTATAAATAGTGCATAAACCCACACAATTACAAAAGCACTCACCAAAAGTTACATACAAAGTTAGTATACCAATAAACTGCACGCTTAAATTGTGTAAAACACGGGCTTCCTGTACCCTACAGGTGTCAATTTAAAATACTAACCCTAACATGTAAAGCTCTAACCAACTCTAGCGCCTCTTACATTTCTTCACTGATTCATAGGTATGCCCCCTCTCGATCTCTCCACTCTACTGATGACCTTCTCCTGTCTGCTGCTCACGCCTGCAAGACTTCTCACAGGAGGCTCCTTTCCTTTGGAACAGCCTGCCTACCCCTGTCAGACTCTCCCCTAGTCTCCAATCATTTAAGAAGTCTCTCAAAACCCATCTTTTCAGGACTGCTTACAGCCTTTAGAAGTTGTTTCTATCTCTCAAACCTTCCTCTCGTTCTCTGCTATAGGGCCACACTCCACTCTCACCTTCAGTTCTGTTACTTTCCCACCATGTCTATTTGCTGTCTCTCTCCATACCCTTCCTATTGTGTTTTATACCCCACCTCCTCTAGACTGTAAGCTTGTTTGAGCAGGGTCCTCAACTACCTATTGTTCCTGTTACATTTTGTTATTGTCTCATTTGGTAAATTCCCCTCGTATTGTAAAGTGCTGTGGACTAAGATGGCGCTATATAAATAATTACCAATAATAATAATCACATATATATATATATATATATATATATATACACACACACAGTATCCAAATCTGTTATTTTTCTCTCTTTTTTAGCCACACCCATAGATAAATCAGATGATAGAGGAGGCGGTTAATAAAACTTAAAAGCCAGAGAAGGAGGCAGTGATGTTGTCAGATAAAGCCCAGGAAGGTGGGCAAAACTAGTAATGAAGTGCGTCACTAAGAGGGGGATGAGGAAGCCCCACGTGATTGAGTTACAGCGGAACCCGGACATGATCGCTGAACATTGGCATCTTCTTGTTTTGCATGTTCTGTTGTGGGTACACCCACCACAATTTAAGTAAGGTTTTAAACCTTTATCATTATAATAAAGATTTGGATACTGTTTAATTTGGGTCCTGTCCTCTCTGCTTGTCTCCTATTTATATAGAAGAACCTGTCTGGCTGAACACAACTGAGAGTTGAAACCATCCTTTTGTGGGTAGTATCCCTCTCAAGCTGCATTTTTCAAACCCAGAGTCAGGGGTGATTAGGCTCTGGTAAATGTGATGTGAAATTTAATCCCAGACACTCCCTGCACTTTATAGAGTGTATATATAAGTTTAACCAGATGATCTGCACTATATATCGGTTTATTTTATTATTTACAGAACAACATTTGAAGATTCTATGTTTTACACAATTTAAAGGGACTCTGTAGGCACCCAGACCACTACAGCTCATTGAAGTAGTCTGGGTGCAAACTCCCATCACTCTAACCCTGAGCATGTAATTATTGCAGTTTTTGTAAACTGCAATAATTACCTGCAAGGGTTAACATCTTCTCTACTGGCTGTCTACTAGGTAGCAACTAGAGGGATTTCCGGGCTTGAAGGCGACATTTGGTTGCCTAAACGACGCTGAACGCCCTCACGCTATGCATGAGGACTTCCAGCATCACCGGAATCCCCATAGGAAAGCACTGAATAATGCTTTCCTATGGAGAAATCCTAATGGGAGCGCAGCCATTGCCGTGCATGCGCATTTGGTCTCCCCCGACATCATAACATCAGTGCTGGACCCAGGGAAGTGACAGAATGGGTTATTAACCCGTTCTGCACCATGGGGGAGTGGGGCCTTGACAAAGGGGGAAGCTATAGTGCCAGGAAAACTAGTTTGTTTTCCTGGCCCTATAATTTCCCTTTAAGCGCTCTGTTTATTGGTTAATTAACCTGTGATGTCTACTATATAAATATATACTTTATGTGTCAATTTTGTTTTCTGTGATGGCAATTAAAATTATAAGACAAACATAGCAAATTCTAAAATCATTTCACATTGAAATACTATTTACAAGTTTTGTGACTTGTAACTACCAAAAATAAACTGAAATCCTAGATAAATCATGTACTCTGTATAGCAGGACAAATAATTTAATTTATTTTGAATTACTTTTCTTAAGTTGCAAATTTTTTTTCACCTTTTTTTTATTTTCATAAAAATTGAAAATGTATACATGAACAGGTCACATCAAAATAAAGACACATTTGTGAAATTATTAAATATACTTAGAACCAAAGCATTCTATACATTTACCTTAAAGCATGTGGGCCGGGCTGGGCCCCTAGTATTTGCAGCATTTTGCACCCCCAACCCTCACACCCCCCTCCATTTAAGAACAATTTTTGCAAATTGTATTAAATGCAATATAAGAAAGGTATTTATCTAACAGAAATTAATATTATTTAAAAAAATATATATTTATTTGAATTACACATGAGGAGTACTTTACAGGATCTAAAATTATCTTACAGCGTGAGGCGCAATGGATACATCGTTTGGATACTGTGTCACTAATTTATTAATATATTGAGATCCTTCAATTAATTAACCATTTATATCGACTTCCTTTGTCCCTTTATAATTCTTCTCCTCCCCAGTGGGAATGGTAATTAATTCCCCCTTCTCCGATGCCCATGATTATGCAGGTAACCGGGCTTATATTATTCAGTTCTGTTCACTAACATCCTTTTTGCCTATTATGTAAAAAATATATTTTCCCAATACACTGTTTTTTATACATACACCCCCCGATATAATGTTGATAGGGAGTTAGACCTTATTCACTGTCCGGTTGTTTATAGCCCTCCTTCTTCTGCTAACCATTGATCATCATTACGCATTTAATTATCATCATTAAGCATTTATTTAATGTGTATGATTGCCTTGCCTATGACAGTAATATGCCTTTCAATTTAAGCTATTAGTAATGATATTGTTAATAGTCTTCCTTTTGTATTTATGTTATGCTTTTAACCAAATGTTTGTCTGTTTAGTATCACCATACACCCAGAGGATGTTTGGGGTTTATTATATTCATTCACATTTGTGTCACTATATTTTTTTTGCACGATATTTGCATATTTTCGCCACTATTTAATGTTAATATCATCCTTTCATCACTTTAAATTTAGCTGGGATTACATATATTAAGCTATTCTTAAGATTTTTATAGTGCATACATATTCACTTCTGACTGTTCTCACGGAGATGCATACCGCTGATTTATTCTCTTGTTTACTGGTATCTTAGCAACATACAACACATCATCACGTTTCAATCACGGCACATCACACGACCGCGGGAATTCACTTCCGGGTACACGCGGAGGGATTGAGGGAGTCTTTCACTATTGGTGAGTACATATATATGTTTGTTATGTATAGATTGTATTTATGTTGGTACATTGATCTTGAGAAAGACCTGAATGGGTCGAAATGTCAAACGGATTTGATGTGGTACCTCTATTTGGAATAAATACTAATTAATTTGCTTAAAAAGACCTGAGAGTGCATCTCTTACTTATTCATATATACCTTATAACATGGGATTGCACCAAGGCATAAGTGCTGCTACTAAAGTGGAGAAAGGGTGAGTGCCAAGCTTCCTATTTTATATATATATAGAAGACTTGCCAGCACTCCTGGATTTTCAGTGAAGTTATTTATTGTCAGAAATGGTCGACGTTTCAGGACTTTTGTGTTTTTTAGTAATATTTTTATTTGATTTGTATATTTTATTGATGGATTGAGACGTGTTATTGTTCACGTTATTCTTGGTCCACTACCCTTACTAGGTGGTTTATCTTTATGCATGAATAGTTTATACACTGCCTATGGCTCAATACCTTGGGGCATCTTTGCGTTTAACTCATGTTCTTGTCCTTGGAGAATGTTCAGCACTTTTATTGAATTCTCGGTAACTTGAACTAGTACCTTTCTGCACAATTTTATTCAAAGCAATTTACATTGCACACCATATTTATGCACTTTATATGAATACTTGGGATATATAACGGTCCCTTAGTACTTAAGATGGCTTAAGTTTGTGGACCAATTATGGTCAATCTGTTGCACATAATTGAGCCACTTTTTACAGCACTATTTGTGCACTTTGAGTCCAAAAGTTTGAATTTTTAGTCACTTTAGTTTTTGTATTAATGCACACTATTATGCCTCTCAGTGTAAGGCTTTAATATATGTCTGAGACACATTTATTTATCTTAGCTATTCATTTGCTTTATGTCTGAAATATGGTATAGATCTATGGATTTTAGTTTTTTGGTTATTCTCTGATCTTTATATAATTGCATGGAGATGTCTTAGGAACTGATAGCATGTTTATCAATATGCAGTCTGTGGCCTCTGGTGGTTTTATCTGTGTGCTTTCATACAGTGGGTTTTAGCGTGCTCCGGTAGCTATGGGGATGCCGTCAGACATATGTAATGGGTGGATGGAGCCTCCACAGTGTCAGTTCATGTGGGAATTCCCACACAGTCGGCGGGCATCCAATTACTGAATAGCATCGTAGTTACCCTAGCAACGCAGTGACGTCAGATACACTCACTATTATTATTATTATGATATTTATAGAGCGCCGTCAAATTCCGCAGCGCTTTACAATGGGTGGACGAACAGACATGTAGTTGTAACCAGACAAGTTGGACACACAGGAACAGAGGGGTTGAGGGCCCTGCTCAATGAGCTTACATGCTAGAGGGAGTGGGATAAAATGACACAAAAAGGTAAGGATAGTATTAGACTATAGAGGCGGTCCATGCCTTTGACGTTCTTGGAATGACCCGGGTGTTTTAGACGTGCGCCCAGACTCCGGAGTAGTCGGCCCAACCCACTTGATGAACAGCTGAGGGTGGTGAGTGATCAATTCCTTTATTTATTCAGTATAAAAGCCATTTATAGGTTTTTGATTATTTTTTTGTGTCCTGATGCAAGAGCTCTTTAGAAAAGCTCTGTTCATTAAAGCAACTTGCTCACTTTGCGAGGGGGCACTTGTCATTGGTCATAACAAAACAGCACCTCTCTGGCCCCCATACCTTCTCAGTGGGCCACGGTGATTAAAAAATGACTGGGCCAAATTTTTTCCCTAAGTAAATGGGCCACTCGATGGATACTGCATAACGGGCCTCGAGCACCGGGCATGTTAACAGTGCGACCAGCCCTTTTAATATCAGCTTGCTGGGAGGAAGTAACAGCTGGTGAAGATCTTACACTACACAGCACCTGGCCTCCTGCACAATCTTACTGGACCACCAGGTAGTGTAATAAGCCCCCTGCTCTGGCCAAAGTTAAAAGAAGGGTATACAATTAATAAATTAATTAGAAAAATTAAAAAAAACTAAACAAAACAAATTCCCTACAGAATGCAGCCCCTATGCTACCCCACATATATACTCACACACTCAACATCCACTACACACTGCATCCACTATACACTGCATCCATAACAAACAACATTCTCTACAGAAACACATACACTGCATCCACTATACACTACACAAACACACTGCATCACTACACACACTATTCTCTATAGAAACACATCCACTACACACACCATTATCTACAGAAACACATACACTGCATCCACTACACACACCATTATCTACAGAAACACATACACTGCATGCACTACACAAACACACTGCATTCACAGGGATGAGCATTGTGGGCGATCTTGGGACACAGAGGCACAGACCTGGGGCTGTGTCAGGGACCCTAAATCATTGATGGCAGCTGTGCATTCTGGTATGGTAATGGTCAAATTCCCAGTTTAATGTATCCTCCACCCTTAGGGTGTTACTTCTAACCTAATGTGTATTTAAGTTATACTTTGAATTTTGGAACCTATGCTTGACAACGGGTCGTAACACTGCCGGTTCCACACTGGTTGAATAAATCTCTGACTTTAATCATGACATTTTATGGACTCTTTCCAGACGGATAATATGGTCAGGAGATGTCTTCAGGATGGTTAAAAAAAAGTGTTTGCACAAAGCCGAAGGTTCTTCCTTAGTCCCATATTATATATGTCCTCAACATACCTTTTGAGGAAGGAGAACTTGATAACGGATTTGAGATTGTGACTTGTGGTTGTCTTTCTCCTCCTGAAGCTCGATTGCCACTATGCAGCACATTTCCTATAAGGCTATCAAGCTTTGTGTGGAAGGACATTTTTCATTTTCCTAGCATAAAGTTCCAATCTTCTTTTAACAGAAAAGTCTTCAATAAGTAACAAATATACAGCTCTCTCAGATTGCCTTACCACACTAGAATGGCGGAGTCTTTGCTGTTACCATATTATAATCCATTGTGTGTATTAGGCCGCTGAGTAAAATCAGATTAATTGTGTATATTATTATTGTTTGTTTGTTTTTTTTTAAATGTCATATTTTGTACAGGCCAATAGTTGCTAGCTCCTCCTTTTTCTTCTTGTAGTTTCGGTCCACTTAAGGCACATCCCAACTGGTAATCTTTCACGAAATATTTGAAATGTACAACCTAAATATTAAACATACGTAAAGAGTTAATAAGGTGGCTTTTATTCACGTATGACACGGTCATTTACATACCTAGCAATGCTGCAAGCTTAACAACATTTTTTTAAATCCAGATTTAAGGGGAAGCAGGATTGTGTCTACACCATTTAAAATAATTACCATATATAATCAAATAAAACACTTTAATAAATAAATGGGTCACACTATCATTATGTATTTAAAAACATATTCAAGGTTATTTACAAAACTGTTAATTAGAAATCCGAAGAAAAATTCTGTCCGCTATGTTTCTAGTTCAGCATTGCTATCCGTAAATTTGCAATTTACTTACGAATGACTCTTATGGTTTACTGTAAAAAGAAAACGAGAAACAGACAAGCAAGTGTAACATACATATATATATATACAGAGCTCCTGATGACAACATACTGTGTCGAAGAAGTAAAATGTCATCTTGTTATAAAACAATTAAAAAATAACTCAGATCCATCACGTGTACATGACTTAAGTTTGCAGAAATTACATTTTTCTTAATCTTGAATTGTTTATAGTCTTATTTCATTTAATTGTGAAACTGATTTAGCTTTATGGATTCACTTTTCCCATAGTTTTTACTTTTGTCTTACCTAAATAACTAATATAGGGAACATTTTAATGGACGCTTTAAGGACCACAACCATATAGCTTGTTGTATTATTTATTCAACTAACCTGAATGACTAACTTGCTCGCCCTCCTCCACCCTGTGCACAACATATAGCACCACAACCACTGCAATGAGCTGTAGGTGTTATGGTTCTTAGAGCACCCTTTAAAAAAAATCCTCAATTGTGAGATTTATTGTGTTATCCTCACAAAAACGATAATTTTTAGTAAAATAGACAGACACTGCAAAACTGATTTGCAAGTCAGCTAACATTTGCTATTTCTTGTTTATTAAAATGGTTTGCCAAATACAGTGTTTAATATTTCTTTTAATGCACAGGAGGAAAGATGTTTTAGTTTACCTGGGATTATAAGGCTAGGAATTATGATTTTCCAGATCGCTGTTCGGCTGGAATGGTCTTGTTTCTTGAATACTTTGTTTTTCTTTATTATCTTTAGAGAAAACAAATAAATAAGATTTTAACTGAACAATAAGGCATGATAATTGGTATTCATAACATTAGAATGTTTTTATTATGAAGATACGTTTCATGGTTCAAGATTAATGTATAGTTTGAACGGTATACTTTAGAACAATGGTATCATATATATATTAGAACTGTAAACCTGTTTTAAAGGTGAACTGTCACTTCTCTGGCATTTAAACCACTGAATAAAACATTGAAAATCACCTGTAATTTGTGTTAACCATTTTTCATGTGATTTTCCGTCTTTCATTTTTAAAACTTCTTTATTTTTGCAGTGCATATATCAGACAATGAGCAATCATTAGTATGAGGCAGTAAAAACAAAGACAAATAGCATCAATATAAGACAAATGTCCTGCACTAATTTATTTATGTTGTCAAGTGATCAATGCCCTGAGCAACTCGGACGGGAGGATGACGACAGGACATGGTTATGTGCTTCGGTGATACTTCAGGGGGCCTATTGATGAAAGTGAAATATAACAGCCGCTCTCCCGGTTCACAGGACGGTGGTGTGGTCCCTGCTTAATGCTGTCCCCTCACCCCCCTTTTGGACCAGTTGGGGTTTTCCTGGTCTCCACTGACCCTCTCCGCAAGCCCAGACAAGATGCAACCTGCGCAGGCACTGACCACAGCAACAACATGCAAGATAGCAGCCGTGCTGACCCAACATGAGGCCGATCTCTGCACCTGCCTGACACCGCTCCACTGCTGTTTCAACGGGCTCCCGAGCACTAGCATCGGCTGAGGCTGGACTCACTTTGCAGGACTGGTCCCCAGCCATGTTCAGCTGTTATCCATTTGGCCAACACCGCCGCCCTACACTAATGTGCCATTAATTACCTATCTCCACACTAAATTGGCTTTGAGTTCTTACCCAATCATTACTTTATTCTATGGGTATAAACGGTGCAGGGCTTACTTTAAGCTGCTGCCCCAGTAGCGAACGGTTATGTGGGGACTCAGTGGTTTATAGATCTTGTATGGTTTTGATCATTACAGTTATTCCTAAACGGCACAGTTCCTAGTTTATCTAGTCTTATGCCTACATGCCTAGCTAGTCAAACCTAACTACAGTTCTAATATACATTTGACTTGCATACCTAAGACTGTTAGGACAGGCCTGCTTTGTATCTAATAGCTCGGCATACCAGAGTAGCCTGCAACTCTAGCTTAATCTACATCCTACTAATGTGTAATCTATTGTAAAATTGTGCAGAACCATCAAAAATGTCACATAACGCAACATTCTTTAATGTACGTCTCATTAAACAACGTGTTTTATTTGTGTTATTCAAAGCTATTGTGGCAGTACGATACTCTTCAGTAATTTGCGCACATCCAAAAATAAAGATTTACAAAAAATAAATAAATAAAAGGAATATGGGAGAGGTAGCAACTCAGAGAGAAACATATCGTTGTCGCATATTGTAGTAAAATCCTATAGGTGTAGTCTTATGGAACAGGCCGCGTGCACAGCTGGCTACAGCAATATAGTGCAGAATGAATTGTATCTTATTGCTAGGAACAAGGTTAAAATAAACCTATGTGATCTCAGGGGGTGGGGGAGCCACACGTAGTGTAACCCAGCCTATCTCTGTACCATTGCGGTAAGCAAAACAAGAGTGACAAAGGGTAAACAAAGACTAAAACAAAAGGTAAACTTTAGATGACCCAAGGCATGGTTCCGTGTTCTCTTGCCCCTTGTGTTGGCAGGAACAATTGGTATATCCATGATGGTGGAACCTCCGTCTCGTGGGACAAAATATACAACATTGGCTGGATCCCAATTCCTGGCTAAAGCTTGTGCATTTGGGCCAGTATCAGGCATCGACAGTCCGAAATCTTCGAAGAAGGTGTGTGTGTATGTATGCATGCAAGTGACCGAAGTGTACGGGTAACTCCATTATGTCTCACCACCAAAGAACCAGGAGTTTGCCACCAGTAAGGCACTCGAGGTGAATGAAGATGAGTAGTGACAGGACTCATGGATCTGTGTCATTGCAAGGTTGCTCTAGAAAGTTCCTTGAAAAAGCATAGGATGAAGTCCTCAAATGACAATGGCATTTTGCCCTGTATGGCTGTCATGATGTGATTCTGGTCTGCGGTTGAGTTGTAGCGCACAATAACATCTTGTGTCGCTAGGGGAGAGGGTTTGGCCGTGTTGGTAAGTCAGTAGATTCCCTCCAGAGCAATTTTCCTGGCCCCTGCAGGCGATAAAATAGAGTCAAGCAACCTCTGAATATAATGTGGTAGCTCTTCAGCCACAATTGTGGCAGGCATTCCTTGGATCTTTATGTTGTTGTGGCATTGTTGATCTTCGAAGGATGTCATTCTCAGAGACAAGGAGTGTTGGTAAGTATGGAGTTGTTGGACTGAGCCACTTAAGTTGGACACTGTGGTCTGAACATCCATGATATCCTCTTCTGTCGTGGATGTTTTGGCCTGGATCTCTCTCCTGATGAGTGCAAGATCATTTTGTGTAAATCAGATAGGAGTATTTTAAGGTGATGCTTTGTTGTTGTGGCCAAGCTATCTGTTTGGTGCAGGCTCAGAGTTTTCTCTGGTTCGGGTGCTGGGGAGGCCTCCTGGTAGTCGCTCTCCAGTGCGGGAGCTGACACTGCGTCGGTTGGTCAGACCTCCACAGGGGGATTCTTCAATGCAGCGGGTCTCTGGAGCATTGCTCCAATCTCTCTTTTGCGCCCGTCCCCCCCATTGTCGAAGTATGAGGCAGCAGTGTTGGCAAGTGGTGTTCTGACTAACTTGGTTTGCCTCAGTGTATATAGAAAAGGTCAGGTAGCATTACTCAGGTTTTTAGTGATGGATGGTAGGTCTGTAAGGAGATATTTGGTGAGTTTAGTGAGGCATGCGAAGAGCAGTCAGAGATGGCGACTGCTCACATTCGCATGTTGGCTCCAGCTCCCCTCCACTTTCTTTTAAAATAGTATTGGAACCTATTTTCTCAAAAAAAATGATGTAGTTGGATTTTTATACTACCTAATCTTCAATTGTATTGAATAGGCTAAAGATCAGTTGGTGAGATCAACTGTAAACTTTGAGGAACTAAGAAAGTTTGTATTAATGTGACGTGCGACAGTATTGTGCCTTATCATTCGATTTTGAATTGTATATCACTATACCAATAATACAAAGAAGTGCTCTGTGCTTCAAGGCAATTAAATGTCATATGGTGTAGGAATATAAATAGTAGCAGCTTTCACACAGTCATAGGGACTCTCCACCCCACTACAATCAGATTAAAAATGAATACTATAAGGCAAAATAATTTACCAATAGTAAAAGAATGTGCAGCGCTAAAAGAATATTACACCTACACCTAATTGTTAAGACAACAAGACAGTGCTGTAAAATAAAAGAAGACACTTATAGTGCAATACAGCCTCCTATAGTAGAGTGAACATATACTCAATGGATGCACTCACATGGATAAGAGCCCGTTTAGGCTAGGCGCAAGTCACTTCCGCTTTAGTGTACTCAGGTGACACTCAACCTTTTCTTATATGATGTAATAGGGAAGCAATGCCAACCCTAGTGTATTAAATCCTTACAGTGAAGGTATAGATTTAAAGTGGAGTTTTCTTCTCACCTTGCTAAGATCCCAGAATTGGCTCTAAGTATTAAAGCTGATGTATCCTTATGGGAGATACTATCCCTCTTTGTGCAGCATCAGCAGTTGTAGCTAATCCACTAGATGACTTTAAAAATGTACATTTAAAAATGTATTGTATTAAAACAATATAAAAACTATTTAATACATATAGAAAAGGTTCTGGTAGATTCAATCTTAATCTTAAACGTATTTTTCGCCGTTCAAAACTCGTCTCAGTATACACAGATTGGTGGACAGCAGTCTCCAATCACGAGAGCTTATCCGGGGGGGGGAGTGCCTTGCTCAGCTGATCGCCATTGGTAATCTGTCCCTTAATTGTGACATCTCCGCGCACAATAAACTGTAGCATGTGACGTCACTGCCGGGTTCGTCCCATCAGTGGCGAGGAGTCCGCCATTTCACTTTCCTATGGTCTCAATGCCGATGATCAATAGGCTGTAAATACCTCCTCCTTTTTAGTCCGTTGGCTAAAAATCGTCAAAGTCCTCCTTGATATATTTTCCTTTGTATCTCCTTCCAGATGTAAGCCTTTTTTAGATTACTAGTTAGCTCCATACTACTTAACAAGATAGGGAGCTTACCAGCTATACCTTCACTGTAAGGATTTAATACACTAGGGTTGGCATTGCTTCCCTGTTACATCATATAAGAAAAGGTTGAGTGTCACCTGAGTACACTAAAGCGGAAGTGACTTGCGCCTATCCTAAACGGGCTCTTATCCATGTGAGTGCATCCATTGAGTATATGTTCACTTTACTATAGGAGGCTATATTAAGGCACTATAAGTGTCTAATTTTATTTTACAGCACTGTCTTGTTGTCTTAACAATTAGGGGTAAGTAATATTATTTTAGCACTGCACATTCTTTTATTATTGTCGATTTTTTTTTTTTTTACCTTATAGTATTCATTTTTAATCTGTATATCACAATCCGACTGTTGCTGATTTATGTTGACATTAGATCACCGTATGCCTCAATAAAAAAGTTCTGATTGACAAAAATAATATTAGAGATTAAACAAAATAATTCACAATCCAGTTCAAGTAGGGAAAACATTGCAAATGAAGAGGAGAAACAGAGTTTAATTTCTCTTCTCTGTATACTTCCTCTAAGCTGGGTGCCATGTGCAAAGAGTTTATGGCAATGTTTGAAACTAAGATAGAGGCGTCCATTTGCAGGATAGAGAGGCGTGGATTTGTAGATTTACCGAGTTATTCACTTTAGACTAAAGCGTGGACACCAGTTTGCTGTAGATTAATTCCGGCAGGCTGAATTCCGACGGTGTTTGGCTTTTGTAAATTTTAGAATTTGCATTGTGCTCATAATCCTGAAGTTGATGAGTCCATTAACTCTATTTTTCACACCTTACAAATACATTTTAGTTATATATATTTTACCAGTCTAAGATTTATGGCAACATTTCTCAACAGAATGAGACTGTATTTCTTACCTGTTGTGTGTTAAATTTATATATGTGTATATTGTATAATATTATATTGTACCCTAATGTAACAAGGCAGTGTTTGTGGGCCCAGGAACTTATTGAAAAAGAGAGAAAATCAATGTATCCTTCCTGGTAAAATTATTTATAAATAAATAAGTATAAGGATAAGTAAACGGAATATTAATAATTCTGGTAAAGGGCAGTTGAGAACAGTTATGTAATATATTTTACAGCTGCCGTTATATACAATAATAGACTAAAAATTAAACACATTATGAATGTGAAGTATTTAACATGCAGACATTTGGTTATTATTCATGCTCAGCCTTTGGATACAAACTAAAATAGGCAAACTGGAACTGAGAGTTCCAGACGGCCTTGGGACTGTTTAATCGCTGCACCATTTATTTATTTTTAAATTGCTGCAGTTACAAGTCACTCTCAGACTTTGCACCATAAACATTGCAATAATGCAAAGTTGTTTTTGTTGCATCCACTGATTTACCAGACAGGAAATTCTGTTGGATGAATACACTGGTTACAAAATAAACTTAAAGGACCACTATAGTGCCAGGAAAACATACTAGTTTTCCTGGCACTATAGTGCCCTGAGGGTGCCCCCACCCTCAGGGACCCCCTCCCGCCCGGCTCTGGAAGGGGGAAAGGGGTAAAAACTTACCTTTTTCCAGCGCTGGGCGGGGAGCTCTCCTCCTCCGATCCTCCTCCTCTGCTCCCCGTCGGCTGAATGCGCACGAGCACAATGCTTTCCTATGGACGCTTGCGTGCTCTCACTGTGAAAATCACAGTGAGAAGCACGCAAGCACCTCTAGTGGCTGTCAATGAGACAGCCACTAGAGGATTAGGGGGAAGGCTTAACCCATTCATAAACATAGCAGTTTCTCTGAAAAAATGGGTTAACCCTAGCTGGAACTGGCACCCAGACCACTTCATTAAGCTGAAGTGGTCTGGGTGCCTAGAGGGGCCCTTTAATACAAAGAAATAACTAAACAGTCTCTAATAAATCATGATGTCACATTGTAATGGTTTGGAGATAAAAACTTACCATTTATAAAGTAAATATACACAGCCAATGCACACATGCAAAGACCAGATAAAAACAATATCCACCTTTTCCTTGCATGAAGAGTTTTGCAGATGGTGTCGTTGGTACTTGTTCCCTGTTGAATAATGATTCCACTTGCACATCTAGAAGAAAGACAGAATGTCATTTTCTTAAAACAAAATTCTGTCCTAACACAGAAAACAATTTTACTAATTTATTACAATAATTAGATTTTTATTCATCATGAAGTGATGCACGTTACAGCTATATCTTGAAACAAATTATTATTTATTATTATTATTATTGCCATTTATATAGCGCCAACAGATTCCGTAGCGCTTTACAATATTATGAGAGGGGGATGTAACTATAAACAGGACAATTACAAGAAAACTTACAGGAACAATAGGTTGAAGTGGAGGCTTGTCCATACGGGCATCCCCACCAGTTTTTATTGCAATACAAAAAAATAAATAACTGTAGAATTTTTTTCTGTTAGGTTTTTGAAAAAAATACCCTTTAGTTGACAGGCTTTCCTACTAACCTGCCTACTGCATTTCTTATTGGTAGGTTGCACCAGTTATCAGAACTCCACTTCCCCAGTGCCTGAGGTATGTGTCTGACTCTGCTCTCCTTCCCTCTCTGCTCCCCAGCACAGCTCCTACTCTTTCCCTCTCTGCTCCCCAGCACAGCTCCCTCTCTGCTCCACCAGCACAGCTCCCTCTCTGCTCCACCAGCACAGCTCCCTCTCTGCTCCCCCAGCACAGCTCCCTCTCTGCTCCCCCAGCACAGCTCCCTCTCTGCTCCCCCAGCACAGCTCCCTCTCTCCCCCCCAGCACAGCTCCCTCTCTGCTCCCCCAGCACAGCTCCCTCTCTGCTCCCCCAGCACAGCTCCCTCTCTCCCTAGGACCCCTGGGAAAGGGTGGCTGGAACTAATTTTGGGTTCCTAGTCCCAGTAATGGCAGCAGGCACGGCTGTAACATGAGGTGCCTCAGCAGATCTGCCTCTCTGTGCTATCTCTGTCCTGATCCCGGCTGCGCTGCCTGACTGTAGATCGTATTAAAGCAGGCGTCGCTTCACACATCAAGCTCTACAGTCAGGCAGCGCGGTAGGGAGCCGACTGGGAGTGCAGAGAGGCAGAGTGGCGGCTGGTACACACACACACACGCTTCAGTGAGGGTAGCAGTGTTTGTGTTTATGTGTGAGGCGTGTTGTGTGTGTTTGTCATGAGTGCTGTGTGAAGGGGGTGCAGTGTGTGTGTGGGGGTGCAGAGTGTGTGTACGTGTGTGCAGTGTGTGTGTGAGGAGTGCTATGTGAAGGGGGTGCAGTGTGTGTGAGGGGGTGCAGAGTGTGTGTACGTGTGTGCTGTGTGTATGTGTGAAAGAGAGGGGTGCAGAGTGTATGTGGGGTGCTGTGTGTGAGGCGTGTATTGTGTGTTTGAGGAGTGCAGAGTGTGTGTGTGGGGAGGATGCGGTGTGTGTGAGGGGTGCAGAGTGATTATGAAGGGTGCTGTATGTGTGTGTGTGCATGTGGGAGGTTGCTGTTTGTGTGAGGGGTAACCTCAGTAACCCTTCTCCCTTTAGCATTTTTTACCGGTGCTCAGGAATTAAGGGGAGATCTACTAACACCCTATGCATTAAAAGGCCAGGACTCATTAAGCCTACATGTATATTGCAGATTCGGCCGTTTAGCACTTTATCTCCTCACTTACTTACGCATGGGAGTTTGTTATGATTTACATTTTTTTTCTATGCCTATCTAGAAAGTCCCACATGGAGAGAAATGTATTTATTTTATCCGTCTGTCTACGTTTGATTATTGGGGCTGCGAATCTTGTAGACAGTGACCTTTCTCCCTTTGGCACTCTTTCTGGTGTTTAGGTACTAAGTGGAGATTTACTAACACCCTATGCATTAAAGGGCCAGGACTAATAAAGCCTATATGTATATTGCAGAATTAGATGTTTAGTAACTTTATCTCCTCACTTATTTAGGCATGGGAGTAGCCTTATAAGGCCAGTTCGGTATTTATTATTATTTGGAGTTAGTTTATTTCTGTGTTGACACTTTCTGTAATTCAGATATTTAGTGGTCTCCCTCTGGTTACATTGTTCCATACCACTGGATGCTTTGGTGCCTACATTTTTACCTCCAGTCAGCATTATATTCAGTTTGTGAATTTTTGCTTCTTTGTTTTTGTTACTAGTATCTAGGGTTAAGCCCTTGGGCATTGCTGGAGTGCCCTCCTGGTGCATGGGATCAGTGTGGAGGTGGTGTTTATTCCCTTTTACATCCATTTTCCCACCGATCCCATTTCTTTCAATTTTTTTGTGTGTGAGGGGTATGTATATTTTATTTTTAAAAATAACACTAGTAATAGCTTTGTGACCCCCCCCCCTCCCTTCTTCTTACGTTTATCCAGGGAGGGGGATACACTGCCAGCACTGCTGGTCCAGTGGTGATTGGCGCTCTTTAGCCTGCTGCTCTTCTGGTTGCAGGCTACCTGTACTTCTTCCGCGAGGTGAGCGCAGCAACGCTTGATCAGTATCTTGCGTGAAGAATTTCCTCCTAGCTCCCTCCTGCCTCCCTGTCATGAACGAAGGGCCTCTCAGGCCGGTGAGGGAGATCCTTGATCTCCTCACCAGCCCAAGAGGTCCCAAAGCAACTGAGCAGGGCCGGCTCTCCTTGGGCCGATAGGGGAGATCAAAGGATCTTCCTTGTCAGCCTGGGAACATGGGCAACACTTTAGGGCCCCCATACTTGTGGGGCCCCCTGGCAACTGCCATGCAGAACGACAGCCCTGATCTTTTGGCGACTTCTTGTGGCTAAATTCTGGATCATACCTGTAATTTAAATTTAGCCTCAAAACAGTCAACTTATTTATCTCATTAATGGGAATCTGTCTATATTAGTTTTTTTCCCTATATATGGGATAATCCTCATATCTTTGAGGTAATAGAGCCATATAGACAAACATTGATTCATGATTAAAATATTTAGTCAAATTCATGTGCCCAGTCTGGCACCCATCAACTTAAAATGTCACCAGCTGCCATTTATTCCTCTAATACAGCAGTTTGTGAGTCTTAATGGAGCTCTGCTCCACCTCATAGAGATGCACTAGGATCAAGATTCATGCATCATCACAGCTTCACATAGAGAAGCATTGAGCAATTGCCCCCTGCTGAGGTGCAATCTAGGACCTTTATAATAGTGAAATAAACAATTGTTTAGCCCCTAAAGCACTTCCGTAACCTGGCAATTTGGTCAGTTCTAAATTTTATGTACCACTCTTCAATGGGCCCGACCTCTGAGCAAATATTTTAATAAGCAACATCTAATTAGCTAGGACCATTCCTTGAACTCACATAAGGCATACCTAGCTAAATAGATATATTAAATATGATAAAGAAATAACATACGCTGTCCACTTAGTGCAATTTGACATCGTTTTATTGCGGAATGTTCCTTCAGGACATTTTTCACACTCTGTATCCATCCTGTTGGTTCCTGTGTGTAATACAATGATACACATCAAACAGTTAATAATGCTGTTATTTAAATTTCCCACACAAACATAATTGGATCTGTGGTTGATCAGAGCCATAATCAGGATGATAGACCTGTAATCAGGTAAAGGTCTAGAACAAAACACAGAGCTCGCGTGGGGAACCAAATGCCAAGTTGTCCAGTCTGAATATAATATTGTCTCTAAGCAGACCATAGTTTGCGATTTTTAACAATTTGCGATTTTTATAGCGCTTTTCTCCCTGTAAGACTCAAAGCACTTTCCAATATACAAACAAAAAAAAGTCAGGAGTTTCTGAAGATCAGATGAGCGGACTGAATGCCTGATGTAAGAGGTTGGCCTTTAGCATTTTTTTTTAAAGTCTGTAAGGACAGTGCCTCTCTGATTGCGCATGGTAAAGAGTTCCAGAAAATAGGGGCAGTGTGGCTGAATACACTGAAACCTGAGTCTGTCTTTATTCTTGGAGGGATTTGCTGGCTGACCGAAGTGATCGGGTTGGAATGTAGGGTGTCAGGAGCTCTTTCAGGTACTGTGGGCCTTAATTGTTTAAGGCTTTGAAGGTTAGCAGGCCAATTTTAAAATATGTTCGCCATTTAATTGGAAGCCAATGCAGGGAGTGGAGAACAGGTATTATGTGGCAGGAGCGAGTTTGATTGGTCAGTAGTCTGGCTGCTGCATTTTGTACAGTCTGAAGGCGATGGAGTTCTTTTTTGGGGAGGCCTAATTAAAGTACATTGCAGTAAACTAGTCGAGAGGATACAAATGCAAGGATTAATGTTGGCATATCATCCGGTGGAATTAAGTGTTGTATCCTGGCTATGTTTTTCAGATGAAAGTAAGCAGATTTTATTACAGAGCAAATCTGCTGTTTAAATCATAGTCCAGAGTCAGTCAATCAGCACTCCTAGGTTTTGTACCTTTGATGAACTAATGTGTAGAGAGCCTTCAAGCTCAAGGTCATTTGGGTGATCATGGGATATTTTTGTTACCTTGGGTCCCTTCACCAAGAGTAACTCTGTTTTGTCCGGGTTCACTTTAAGACATCTAGCATTCATCAATTCTATGAGTTCTACTAAGCAACTGTTCATGCGGCATGTTGGGCCTGTGGTATCTGGAGCAAACGAGAAGTAGAGTTGTGTGTCAGAGTAACAATGATACCTTAGGCCATGTCGCCTAATGATGCCCTCAGTAGTAGCAAGTAAATTGTGAATAGCATGGGAGACAAGATGGATCCTTGTGGAACTCCGCAGGTCATTTCCTATTGGTGCCGATGAGCTTGATCCTGATGTTACTCTCTGTGATCTACCAGTGAGGAAAGATTTAAACCAGTTAAGGACTAGTTAAGACCACAGATGTGCTACAAGCGCTCTATTAAAATCCTGTGGTCAATGGTGTCAAATGCAGCTGAGAGATCCAAGAGGATTACGATTGAGTAATCACCTTTGTCTCTCACCATGAGGAGATAATTTATCACTCCTGAAACCTGACTGGAAAGGATCAAATATGTTCAATCTTGATAGATGGGCCTCCAGATGAGTTGCCACTACTTTTTTAATTATTTTCCCCAGAAATGGAAGGTTGGATACTGGTCTGTAATTAACCATGCAGCCTGGGTCTAATAAGGCCTGGAACCTCATTTCATACACTCTCAGGTGATTTCCCTGACAACCACATTGCAGATCTGTCAAAGAGTGACTGTCCCCTTTTACAGCAACCCTGGGTGGACATAATGCCATGCACACAATGTACAGCCTGTATGTAGTAGTCACTTCTGTGGTCATCTCTGGTATCCACAGATTCCCGTTTGGGGAGTCCCTTCTAACCAGGGTCACTGTAGGCTGTCACACTCAGCTGTGACAATCAGACATTTGTTTATGATTCATTGGGGTGTAGTGCCATTTGCAGAGGTCACGCAGCAGAAAGGCCAGATTTGATTGACAACACTTGTGAGATTGAAACTATTGTTTGGTGGTAAGTGCACTTGTGTTCAAGCAAATGCCTAACTGTGATACAATAAAACAAAGAAATAATTAATTTGTTGTTTTTCAATACTAAAGCCACGTTGAGAAGAAGAATGGAATGAGCACGTGTGTATATTTTTTCTTTTCATTTTTAATTTTTTTTGACACTACAACAGTAACAAAATATTATTGCCGTTCAGCACAGGCGCTGATGGCACAACTCGACTGGTAAAAAGTGAGGATAAAAATATACAAAAAAACCAAAAGCTCAATAAAGCGAGTAAAAAAATAATATACAAGTGACAAACATGGAGTGATACCTAATAAGGTGTTACCTCACAAAAAAACACCCCAAAACAACAATATGAGCAAAAAAGTCCGGTGTTGGATGAAACACGGATGTTTATTCCTATATGTATTTCATTGTTTTTCTAGGCTTTTGGAAGATTTTTTGCTGCTGTTTTCCCTTGTCTTTGTTCAGATAATTCAGTTAAAAAAACCTTTTGAGTTTAGAGTCTAAAAGGAGAATTGTCATTAACACGTAAAGAGAAAATCTCAGAAACAAAGTCAGTAACACAATCTCACAGAGACATGGACACAAGATTCTTACACAGACACAAGATCCCACAGAGACATAAACTTACATTCTTACAAAAACACTCTTACAAACAAGCAGACACGTATTGTCTCAAAGACACAGACAGTAACTTGCTTTGTGAGATTGCCTGACATAGGGGCAATGTCCTAGTTTATGTATAAAATATATCCCCTTTACTCCACTAAAGGGAAACTATAGTGCTAGAAACACAAAGTTGTATTGTTAGCACTATAGTACCCTATAGAGTCCTGGCACCGAAACTGCTATGTTTACAGCAGGCAGGGTTAACCCTAGATGGACCTGGCACCCGGACCACTTCATTGAGCTGAAGTGGTCTGGGTGTCTATAGTGGTCCTTTAAACTTAAAAAAAAAAAAAAAACATGTTTCAGTGTAGTATATATGATGTGTTTTTGTAACACAGGTGCATATTTCCCAAAATTGGGAGGCATGGGGTTGGGAAAGGGAGTTTAAGACAGTAGCAACGAAATGGCAGGCCCATGCAAACATGCACAGACCCAAACAGAAGGTGTTAGACAAGTGTACTTCGTCTGGGTTGGGGGTCTGCACACAACTACGACAAGCATCTGTCCTGGTCAGTCCCCATTAGGGCTGCACATGTGAAAATTCTCTCACATGATCTAATGATATATTTGTGCTTTTTCAAGCCATCTTCCTGGTGTCCCCAGAACAAGATATACATGTCAATTTATTTCCAGTGATTGGGTTGCTGTACGTGGATACGCATTGTGGAATCAACATTACATATCACTAGATGTCAGCATTACTTAAACCCGAAAAATGGGCTTCATTAGATATAAAAATGTCAATTTATAATCAATAAGTCAATATATTCAACCAAAACTCATACTTACCATATCGCTTCACCATTTCGCCAGGTGGACATGTTTTATGTCTTTCACACATGTCACATTCTTTACCACTAACCGACCTACAAAATGATCCACGTTCGCAGTCGCAGACAGTATTTGAAGTATATGTACACGCTTTCTTTGTAACAAGGCCAGCACCTATGGAACAGCAATGAACAAGGAGAATCCCATGTTTATTTTAATTTAACAATCAGAGCCTAGTTAATTTTATCGACGGTTTTATAAATACTATTAACATATACATACAACATGCCAATAAATAGGAAAAATCTGTTTAACTTTGAGAATGTGTAAAATGTATCACATGGTTTAGAAAAAGACACATCAGAGTGTATTTGACTCCATTTGTTTTTTCATTCTTCATAATTCATTTTTCACCTTTGAAGTTATATTGTTTGCTAAAAATCTCAAGGATTTGCAACTTCTGCTCTGAGTACTCTAAAGGTCAGAATATGACTCAAACCTCTTAGCCAATTACAGCCCTCCCATCATTTTTGGTGGGACTGCTGATTATATTTCATACAACCTTGTCAAATTGACGTTTACGGCACTCATATTTCAGCAGTAGCTTAATTCATGAAAATACATAAATTAAACCACTATGCAAGAACGTAGAAGTTGCGCAGTGCATTTAGTTTACTGAATAGCTGAATTCATGATATTTCATGAATGGAACGTGCTATGGCCATGCATGTGCGCAGTTCCACCCCAGGCTCTCTTAACATATGAAGGAGCCTGTCAAATAAAATAACAACGGCTTATTGTGCATTCTGCCTATCATGTCATCAAATAGGAGGATGGACATTTTTGCAAAGGCTATGATTATAGGCATTGGAATATATGGTGACAAATACAAGCGAGCCCATTGCAATATTACCTATGCAAGAAGAATAGGTGGTTGTGTTGCTGGGTACCCCATTAATAGGGATGCTAGGCTTGTCTAACACCTGACGTATGATTTGCACTGCAAGTTTTTCTTGTAGCAGTCATAGTTTTAATAAAATTGCCCCCTTGATTTTTTTTTGATTTTTTTTTGATTTTTTTTTGCTCCCCTGTGTGAGGTGTGTCGGCTGTCAGGGCATCCCCTGGTCCATGGCGCCCTGTGCGGCCGCACAGCTCGCACACCCCTAAGGCCGGCCCTGGATGTACCTGAAAACCACAGTAATCTGAATGTACCTTTCCTGGTTAAATACTTTGTTATTATTATTTAAAGAGATGCTTGCAGCACTGCAAGCAGCTCATCAAAAAGTCTGGGGCCACTAAAATTGACCACTGATACTTGGGGTTGTATGGTGTGAGCAGGGATTTAAACCTGCTCACACCATCATACGTGCATTTAAGCCCACTTTGTGTAGGACTGCACAGAACGTCCTACCGCCATTAGGGGCTTAAAGAGTAAGCTCTAACATCTGAATTGTTACTGGAAAACTATAGCGTTAGTAACACATGTCTGTATTCATAACACTTTAGTGTTTCTGTAATAATGAGACGAATGGACAAATCAGACAAGAATAATGTGTGGGACTAATAATTAGAGGAACAAGAGCAAAATATGTTTTAAATAAAATTAATTACTAATTGTTAACCTTACCCTTGTCACATATTTTACATCTCAAGCATTTTGTCTCCCCGTTTGGGTGGTCCATGTATGTGTTGTCTACACATGGTATACACACTGTACTGACTGCATCTGTGCAGTGATTCTTTACAACATTACCTATAAGAAATAGAAATGCAAAAGAATTATGTGCTGATACAAAAACATTAAAAATTAAAACAGAAACTATACTAGTGCTCCGTAATCTGCTGCTGGCTCTTCGTACCAGTGGCTGCTTGAGAAATATTCATTAGTGAGTAGCATAAATAATCACGATATAGTGTGTAGGTGGAAGGGGATGAGGCATAGGAGAGAATTGTGAGTATTAGAAGGAGTGTGAGTAAGAACTCACTCCATATTTGGAAGCTTGGTTCACCGAATTACTGGGTGGAGGTCCACTCGACAGAGAAATGTCATTAGCGGACATTGTCTTACTGCCGAAACTGGGTCGAGATCTTTCAACACCAGAAAACTTTCGCCCGATATCCCTTATCAACCATGGTTCCAAAATATTAGCGAAAATTTTGGCTGCCAGGATAAACCCGATGCTGACTCGTTTGGTTCACCCTGATCAGGTGGGGTTCATACCGAATAGGCAACTTTTTGAAAATACGAGACGTAATGTGGATCTCATATTGAGACAAACCACAAGGAAAATACCGACGATGTTACTGTCATTAGACGCTGAGAAGGCGTTCGACAGAGTTAAGTGGCCTTATTTGTTTACAATGCTGGATCATTATGGCTTTCCAGAACAATTCACGAAGGCGATATGAGCTTTGTATACTAACGTCAGGGCGCAAATTCGCATTTCAGGAGCAAAGATAAACCCGTTCGGTCTGAGCAATGGCACTAGACAGGGATGCCCATTGTCGCCCTCATTGTTCGCTCTTTCGCTAGAACAACTCCTTCAGGCGATCCGCGCAGCCCCAGACATTAAAGGGGTAGATGTTGGAGGGCAAAGATACGTGGTGTCAGCTTTCGCAGATGACGTCTTATTGACGCTGACAGAACCAAGGGAATCCATGGTGGCGCTTACAGATATTTTACAGGAATTTGAAGAACTGGCCGGATATAAGGTAAATATGGACAAGTCCAGCATATTGCCCATAGGTATGTCAGAGACAGATACCACCTACATAGGGATGACCTACAAATTAAGAATCACAAGAGATCACATTAAATACCTAGGCATACGACTGACAGCAGACCCATCTAAACTATTCCAACAGAATTATACCTTGCTGATTAAGACATTGATGACAGACTTGGAGAAATGGACAGAAAAGGCAATTTCTTGGATAGGGAGGATCCATTCCGTGAAAATGAATGTGCTACCTCGGATATTGTTTTTGTTTCAGGCGCTCCCGATTAGAGTGACCAGATCTGACTTGGGCCGCTCCAACAATCCATAGGCAAATTTATATGGCGGAATAAGAAACATAGGGTCTCACGCAACATCCTTTACCGGGCTAGGGACAGGGGCGGCCTGGGCCTTCCGCATCTATATTTTTATTATGAGGCAGCCCAGGTGGCACTGTGGCATTCTCCACCGAAGGAAAGGAGATGGGTAGATCTAGAAGCTTCCCTGGTGGGGATGGATATGCCCCAGTTTTTTATGTGGACCCCTAAGGAGCATAGACCGAACATAAGCGTGACCTGCCCTGCGGTTTCCAATTCACTGAAGATCTGGGACGCAGCCGCTCCTAAATATGGCTTGATATCCTCCCCTTCTCCATTGACCCCTTTACTGAGGAACAAAGCTTTCCTACCAGGAATGACAGCCCAGGATTTTAGGGGCATAGAACGTGCAGGACTGCAGAGATTACACCAACTGTTCGAGGGGGGGTCGTTTGTGACGTTTGAGGATTTGCAAACTAGAACGCCTCTACGACCCTTTGACTTCTTTAGATATCTCCAGATTAGAGACTATGCCCAAGACCGACAGGTTAAAAAAGCCGCAGAGACACAGATGACATTCTTTGAAAGAATGTGCGTAAAGGAACAGTTCCCAAGCAGACTGATTTCACTTCTATACTCACATTTGTGTAATAGCACGTTAGAATGGGGAGGTATTACATACATAGACCAATGGGAGGGGGATTTAGGAGAGACGTTGGAGGAAGTGGAATGGCAGGAAATATGGGAAGCAACCGCGCAGTCTTCTATGTATGTCTCGTTACAGGAACAATCATATAAGACGCTATTTCAATGGTATGCTACGCCGGTAAAGTTAAACCATATAAATCATCTTACGACAGACTTATGCTGGCGGGGGTGCGGTCTCAAGGGCACATATATCCACATGTGGTGGGAATGCCCGATCACAAAAGTTTATTGGCAACAAATTGCGCAGCTGCTGTGAGAAATATTTGAGAGGGAGGTTAAACTAGACCCATGGATATTTTTGTTAGTTAGATCTATAGAAAACTGGACGAAATCAGAATTGACCCTATTACATAAGGTGAACCTAGCCGCTAGGAGAGCTTTGGCACAGGTATGGTTGCGAAGAGAGGCCCCAGAAATCGCCGTGGTGATTCAGAAAATTAAAGATAATTATTTGATGGATGACTTAACAGCTCGGGTTCGGGGTACAATGAAAAAGTTTGAAAAAGTTTGGGGCCCTTGGGTAGCTAGCGCAGCAAGTGCGTGATACACTCACGAGCGAGACCCCCTTCGGCAGGCTTGGATGGAGTGGATGTAAGTTAGACTGGATTCCTCCGCGCTCCCCCTCCACTTACTTCTTCCTCTTACTTCTCCCTTCCCTTTCCCTGTACTATCTCTTTCTATCTTCACACGTACCCCTCTTATATCTTTACTTGTCTCTTACTTTTGTCTGAGAGAATTATATACCGTGTTTCCCCGAAAATAAACCCTACCCCGAAAATAAGCCCTAGTCGGATTTTCGGGGTGGGCTGCAATATAAGCCCTACCCCGAAAATAAGACCTAGGCATTGTACCTTTGCGGCGAGACTTCCTTCTTCTGCTGTAGGAGGAGCGTCGCGCAACGTGATGACGACATTTTGCAGCGCCGTCAGTCTGCCTTCACGGATCTTCAGCGGAAGGATCCATTTCCGGGCGGTGAGGCTCCCAGTGGTCGGACTCGGCAAGGAATCTTTGAAATGTGAGTACCGCTAGATATTTTATGTCTGGGATTAATTGAATTAATTAAAGGGGGTGGGGGGGGTGAATTAAAAGGGTGGGCTGGATTAATTAGAGGGAGTGAATTAATTAAAGGGTGGGCTGGATTAATTAGAGGGGGTGAATTAATTAAAGGGGGGTGAATTAATTAAAGGGGGGTGAATTAATTAAAGGGTGGACTGGATTAATTAGAGGGGGGTGAATTAATTAAAGGGTGGGCTGGATTAATTAGAGGGGGTGGATTAATTAGAGGGGGGTGGATTTATTAAAGGTGGATTAATTAAAGGGGGGGTTCAATGTACATACCGGTACCGTAAATAAATAAGCCCTACCCTGAAAATAAGCCCTAGTGTGTTTTTTGTGACTAAAATATAAGACCCGGTCTTATTTTCGGAGAAACACGGTACAACTGACCTAACATTGCCTTACAACGTGTAAACAACTGGCACTGCTAAAGGATGTGGTCAGACGATAATAGGTGCAAAAGGATAATAATTCGATAGAGCTAGAGAAAAAGACATATGAGGCCCGTGCATAATCGCAGGGAAACGGATGGGGCATGTTCTATTGACAAAAGAAATGTTTGGCGGTCTTAGCCTTGTTATGTTTCTTATATTTTTCGTGTAAAACAAAAATCTACCAGGGAGGACAGAGATACAGTGTTGTAGTGTATGATAGATACACTTCATGTTACTATGTTGCAGTAAGGGGGTGCAAAGATTGTTAGCTTACTGTTATTGCAAATACGATACAATACTGTTTTGCACGGTGTAACAATATATTACAATGTTTTGATGCATCATGTTTTCAGTGTACTGTTCTGCCTTGGAATAAATAAAGAATTAAAAAAAAAAAAAAAAGGAGCATGAGTAAAATGGGACCTAGAGACATGTAGTATAAACTGAAATAAGGAAGTAAAAGTATGGATATTCAGTGTGTCTTGGGGGTATCAGTAGATAGTGGAAGTTACAGTGAATTGGTACATAGTTGTATTTATTGGTAGCAGTGGGACAGTCAGTTGATAGCAAGATTATGGGTCTGGAAGGTTATAAGTGGATAGAGGGAGCCAGGAAGGAGTAGGTAGTTGGTTGTATTAGTGGAAAATGATAGTCTTAGTAGGATTTGAAAATAATAGATCACTGGGAAGTCTTTATGGATTGTAGAAATTCTGTTGAGATGGTCAAGGGCAGTAGAGGTTATAGAGACACCATTACTCTGACACTAACAACTCAGTTCCCCTGGAAGAGCCAGCTAGTGGCGAAACACCCCCCTTACCGTTATTTTGGTATTGCACTTAGCAATTTGGAAGGAAAGGGACTAGATACTACAGATAAGGTGGAGGGTGGATAGATTTTTTTAAGGGGTGCCCTCGAAGGCACAGTAGGCATAGCATATAGCATTTAGCCTTCTCATAATATTTCCCTCTTATCTGTGTTTGCCGTAAGAGTTAAATTGATACAGGATGTTGTTGCATCTATTCAATTTGAACTAAATGGATTAGTCTCTCATATTAGTAGCTCATGATATATTGCTTATCTCATCCACAGGATACAATGTTATCAGATTTGTGGTAGAAAGAATGGTTGTTACTAACTAGCTTTGCACTATTTCTTTTTTCTAATGTGAAGAAAACAGACGGGCAGGTTCTGATTCTTTTGAATCTACTTAATTTACTCTTATTAGTTTATACTTCTCGTGTTTATGATTATTATAGTTTTTTAATCTCTTCATGTAGTGACCTTTCATGCATATATTTGCATGTTTCACCTCTTTTAATACAATTAATAAAAGTTAGTGTTATAAATGGGTTATTCACTTTTATAAAAGTGTTTTCACTTTCCCCCTTTTTTCCCCCTGTCTTTTAGTATTTTGATGTTCATATTAGGGGTTACCCTCCAATTTCTTGTACAGTAACCTGACATACTCTCCCTTAATATTTTATCTATATGTATATGTCCATTCTCAGTGATCTCTTACATTTTACGCTGATGTATTGAATATAGACTAAGTAAAAATAAACAAATGGAGCCTTGCAATTTAGTGTATGGACTCGCCAAACCCAGGGTCCCAAATGCCAACAACAACAACAACTTCACAATCTCCACTGATCCTTAGAATGGCTGGATGTGATCGTTCAGTTGTTTGGCATCGGATATATTATGTAATAATTATATATGTCATAGCTGTCAGTTTACATGGATCGAATTAACTCCATACCATGATCACAGATTGTATTGGTCTGTTACTGTCAAGGTCCCTCAACAAAAAAGAGATGCTTGCCTCAATAACCTGCATTTGTATATTTGTCTCAAACAGAAAATATAATTGTACAAAATAAAATGATTTTAGACTTGAATGAGGCAACTGCTTGTGTAATTCACTGTTTACATAAAACTATTTTTCGACTTACCAGATGGGCATTGTGGACAGCACTCTCCTTCGTACTCATACTCTCCAGGCAGACATGCGCTAAATACCACTCTAGCCATAGCTGCCTGTAGCAAAGGACATAGATAGTTAGGAAGGATTAAGTAGGAATTCAAAGTGAATTTCAATATTTAACATAAAATGGCTAAATGGAACTTTCCCAGTAGGGTTAGTTACAGCCAAAAGAGGCAGTTCTACAGAAATAGCAGAGTGACTCAGAGACCTTCTGAATGGTGTGCATGCGCAGTAGTACCAACTGCTTTCCTAGATTGATGATCCCCGCCATGGAGACTGGGTCAGCAATATTGAGAGCAGCACAACATGGGATAAAAGGTAAGTAAACTACCTTTTCTTTTTTTTCGTGTGCATATGGTAACATACGAGCTTGCAGAGTCACAACAGATGGTCACAACAAGGCAGGTACAATAGCACATTTTATATTTAGAGTGAATAACAATCTAGGATTCTTTAGTAAGCTATAATGAAGATATCAGGCTATATATATGCATGTTAGTATAATAATGTATGCTTAGCGCTAAAGGCATGTCGCCTAACATTTGTATTGCGAATAACAATTATATGCAATTTAAAAAGCCAAAAAATAAGGTAGTGGAGTAACTGTGAAAGGTCAAATTATATCAATAGGTAATTAATTTGATTTGTACTCCTGAAACTTTTTAAATCTGCGCATATACTCTAATAAACGTGGTGAGTTAGAATACGTCATAAAATGCAGAGACACATACGCTAATTACATTATGCCTGATTGCATATTGGGTCATTGTAAGAGGTAACCCTATACAAGCTTAAACCAGGAATTTACATGACCTGAATTTACATGACCTGAGTATTGGTACAATTGGAGGGACATCTCTTTGTGGCGAAAGGTGAGGCACCAGGTCTTCTACTCCTCTTGGGCAATTCAGCGTTGGTACCCCTGACTTAGTATTAGTAGTGATTTTGAACTCTAGAGGCCATTGGGAAATGTGGGCCTAGCTCACAGTTTGTCACTGCAGTTACAGTTATGGTGGAGATAAGTGTCAGGCTAGGGTAACACTGAGTGACACTGAGCACTCCTGGCTCATTACCTGTCTGCCCCTGCTGTGGGAGTCACATAGTAGGTTTGATTCCGGGTATTATTAGTAAACCTGCTAACATAAGTAAAGTTAACAACAAAAATTTAACATAAAAAGTGAAACAAAAATACTAAAAATATTCGCCCAAAGTTAAACACAAGTCAGAATGGGCTAGCGTCCAGGTGAGTCCCAGTTGTTAGCTGCACATGTTCAGGTGGTTGCAGCCGCATAAGAATCAGGGATGCGCTGTCGTAGAACAAAAGGGGGGATGCTCGCTGGGTCCCAAGGGTGAGAGAGCGGTGGCTCAGACTGAGTGTCTCGGGTGAGAGCATCTGGGGGTATTCCTAGGGATGGTAGTATTCCGGCAGCCTCTTGAAGGTTGTGGATGGCGTCCTGAGTGTCTCTCTGGTGCACCAACAATGTGCGGGAGAGCACCCAAAATATCCAAAAATAAACAAAGATAGTGTAAACTGTTGTACAAGTAAATTAAGATTAAGTAAATCACAAAGCTGCACACTCACACATTTTAGAGTCAATTAGGTCTGGTTTTGAATACAGTTGTAGTTGGTGCCTTAGAAGTTCCGCCTACAATAGGGATTCCACTCTTTTTAAAAAACAAAAAAATTCTTTATTTTAACAGTGCTTCGCAACAAACATGTTATAAGACAAACCATAATATGTCAGTGGTATACATTGAGTTAGCATTCAGGTGGTGAGAATAGAGCACATTTTTTGGTTTTGGTTTTTTATTACAAGTAAACACGTGGAGTCACCTGAGGATTCAATGGCAGTTATGGTCCATGGGGGTCGGTTCTCAGGTTCCCTAGTTTCTTAATTGGTGATATACTGAAAACTTTCCATGTGGGGCTTAATTGTTGCTGCATAGCTATGATGTCAACGCCAGACTGATTGCCCCCGGTATCTGGAGATCAGTTTGGTGAGGTGATGGGCATCTAGGAGATATCTCCTGAGTCAAGATAGGAGTGTGGGTGGACTAGAGGGTAAAGAGGGAGAGTGATAGAGGTTACGGGGGGAAGACCGACAGCCGCTGTGTGGATAGCCAACGGACTTCTGAATGCAAGAGCAGAGTGGTGACTACCCATTTTTTCACATAATATTTTAAATAGTCGTGACTGTAATGGTTGATTCGTTACAAAATAGTAGGAAAAACTATTTTGGGCATGTTTTCTGGATTTTTAGTTATATCTTCTTTCTCAGTTTCTATAAGTGCCGAACAGGTAGAAGTAGTAAAAAAATTTCTCTGCCCCTCACAGAGCCTTTTAATGCCCCATGACAGATAATTCCAATGCCCCATGACAGAGTGTTCCAATGTCCCATGACAGAGAATTCCAATGCCCCATGACACTTGTCACTTGTCACTTCTATTTGGGGAACAGTAGGAAAAACTATTTTGGGCATGTTTTCTGGATTTTTAGTTATATCTTCTTTCTCAGTTTCTATAAGTGCCGAACAGGTAGAAGTAGTAAAAAAATTTCTCTGCCCCTCACAGAGCCTTTTAATGCCCCATGACAGAGAATTCCAATGTCCCACGACAGAGTGTTCCAATGCCCTACGACAGAGTGTTCCAATGCCCCTGACAATCAGTTCTGCGGAAAACCAATTGGGAAACGCTGCCTTAGAGTGTTTAAACACTTCCAGTGGTTTTTCCTATTAAATTGACATCTTTACATCTAAGAACAGTGACGCTAATGTGTTAGGAATACAGGTTTAGTGTTCCTTAAATAATAGTGTTTTGTTCCAGGACTTTATCAATTTACAATCAGCCGGGACTGATATGGTGACGAGATTTGCGTCCAGTTACGGGAAACTTTTCACGTCCCACTAAGAATCATTTGCCATTAGGGAAAGGCATGAATGAGCTTATAGTCTCCTATAGATAATAAATAGATTACAAATTATTACTTTTACCCTTTGCAACTGGAGCTATGTAACTACAAGCTGTGGGTGGCTCCTAACTGTGAGACTTTCACTTTTTATATTCTCAAGAATATATTACTTACATACATTCCAATTAGCTCTATATTTGGTTTTTCTTTTTAAAATTTTTTTAATGAATATTATGGGGGTTTCTGCTAAAAGAGATAAGTATTTAGAAAACTACTCTTCTTTCGTAAAGAACCACTACAGTGCATTGTAGTGGTTATGGTGTCAGTTGTGCCCTGGCGTTCACCACGCTTTAGAACACCGCTCCTCCCTCCAGTACAGCTACAGGCGAGCCGAAAGCTCTCACTTTGGAGCTTTTTTCTTCAGAAGGATATTGATATCTTAGAGAGGGTTCAGAGAAGGGCTACTAAACTGGTTCATGGATTGCGGGATAAAACTTACCAGGAAAGGTTAAAGGATCTTAACATGTATAACTTGGAGGAAAGACGAGACAGGGGGGACATGATAGGAACATTTAAATACATAAAGGGAATCAACACAGTAAAGGAGGAGACTATATTTAAAAGAAGAAAAACTACCACAACAAGAGGACATAGTCTTAAATTAGAGGGACAAAGGTTTAAAAATAATATCAGGAAGTATTACTTTACTGAGAGGGTAGTGGATGCATGGAATAGCCTTCCAGCTGAAGTGGTAGAGGTTAACACAGTAAAGGAGTTTAAGCATGCGTGGGATAGGCATAAGGCTATCCTAACTATAAGATAAGGCCAGGGACTAATGAAAGTATTTAGAAAATTGAGCAGACTAGATGGGCCGAATGGTTCTTATCTGCCGTCACATTCTATGTTTCTATGTTTTTTAAATTTGGAAGTCAGGAGTACGTCATGGGCTGAGAGTGTCAGCTGGTCACTCTCAGCCAACGAGTTTAAAGCTTGGCTTTCCTTAGTTGTAGTGGAGGTAGGGAGAGGTGCCCAGCAGAATCCAGGTAAGATTCTCTTGGCTGTTTTAGCCTCACTTTTTGCCATTAATAGTAGATTTTGTTACAATTCACAGTTTACTGAATAAGCCTGCGCCATATCACAAAGCAGACAGCAGATGGCAACATAACATCATATTACCAGATGGCTGACGTACTAAAAAAAAACTCTTATATAAAAGTAATGTTTTTAAAAAAAAACTTAAAAATCAACAGCTAAAAGCATCGTTTCTTCTTTGAGAAAATAAATTAAATAGTTGATTAAACAAATTAAAAAAACAAACTATAAAAACAGAGTAAGAAAGGATCTGGGAAGGCGGCCGTTTGAGTAGACCTTGAACTCACCCAGGCCAGCGCCAGTCCGAACAATCGGCCCATTTCAATAATCGGCCATTCTGGGTCACTCCGCCGATGGCCGCATACTTCACTGATGCATTATTCAGAATTCCATTTTAGAACGCCGAGCGTTTTCTCCGAATCTTCATTACGGCGAATATTGCAGAAACTTCTATAGTTCTATAGCTCCGTTCAAAGAGAAACTGAAACTGATATGGTGGGCGGAGGCGGAAAATATCTTGTGACTTCTCATAGTCCAACTCCCATCACACAAAGCAGGAAGATGATTCCTCGGGGGCAAGAGGGGAGACAAAAGAAGGGCAAATTGTGGCTATGACT